TTGAAGAGGGTCTAATGAATAGGTTTACTCATTGGGTAGGGTCTAATGAGCAGGTTTACTTTGAAGAGGGTCTAATGAATAGGTTTACTCATTGGGTAGGGTCTAATGAGCAGGTTTACTTTGAAGAGGGTCTAATGAATAGGTTTACTCATTGGGTAGGGTCTAATGAGCAGGTTTACTTTGAAGAGGGTCTAATGAATAGGTTTACTCATTGGGTAGGGTCTAATGAGCAGGTTTACTTTGAAGAGGGTCTAATGAATAGGTTTACTCATTGGGTAGGGTCTAATGAGCAGGTTTACTTTGAAGAGGGTCTAATGAATAGGTTTACTCATTGGGTAGGGTCTAATGAGCAGGTTTACTTTGAAGAGGGTCTAATGAATAGGTTTACTCATTGGGTAGGGTCTAATGAGCAGGTTTACTTTGAAGAGGGTCTAATGAATAGGTTTACTCATTGGGTAGGGTCTAATGAGCAGGTTTACTTTGAAGAGGGTCTAATGAATAGGTTTACTCATTGGGTAGGGTCTAATGAGCAGGTTTACTTTGAAGAGGGTCTAATGAATAGGTTTACTCATTGGGTAGGGTCTAATGAGCAGGTTTACTTTGAAGAGGGTCTAATGAATAGGTTTACTCATTGGGTAGGGTCTAATGAGCAGGTTTACTTTGAAGAGGGTCTAATGAATAGGTTTACTCATTGGGTAGGGTCTAATGAGCAGGTTTACTTTGAAGAGGGTCTAATGAATAGGTTTACTCATTGGGTAGGGTCTAATGAGCAGGTTTACTTTGAAGAGGGTCTAATGAATAGGTTTACTCATTGGGTAGGGTCTAATGACTAAGTTTACTTTGAAGAGGGTCTAATGAATAGGTTTACCCATTGGGTAGGGTCTAATGAGCAGGTTTACTTTGAAGAGGGTCTAATGAATAGGTTTACTCATTGGGTAGGGTCTAATGAGTAGGTTTACTTGAAGAGGGTCTAATGAATAGTTTTACTCATTGGGTAGGGTTAATGAGTAGGTTTACTCAGTGGTACGGTCTAATGAATAGGTTTACTCAGTGAGTAGGGTCTTAGTTAATGAATAGGTTTACTCATTGGGTAGGGTTAATTAGTAGGTTTACTCAGTGGGTAGGGTCTTAGCGAGTAGGGAGAGGAAGCAAAGCAAAGAGGTTGTTGTTTTTTACTCCTTGAGTAGGATCTGCCAAGAGGAGATACATATAGGAGGGTCATTTTTTTTCAAATCAGTGAGTAAGATCCTGCAGGGAAGGGGCTAAAGCAAAGGGTGTACATATTCCTCACACCTCCCCATGGGATCTAACATGGTGGGAGTCAAAGGCTTTGTTATTTTTACTCACTGGGTAAAAACATAGGAGAGGCTGGAGCAGGTTAGGTGACTCTGTCGGCTGGGGCATTGTGGGAGCTGTAGTCCAAAGCAAGCCGGCCGCGGGGCCAACCCGAGTTCTGGACTTCTCTCATCATCACACGCCCCCTCCTTGTTTTTTTCCCCCTCACCCCCCCCTTTAGGATGACGATAGATAATGGGCAATGTCCAATCAGAAACATCACAAGAATCAGAGTCTGCCAAAGACGGGGAGGAGAAGACTAATCCGGACAGGAGCAAGCCACCGGATCGGGGCCCGAAGAGCAGCAAGCATGAACTGGAGAGCCAGGGTCACGGCCCTCCAATCCTCGAAGCCCAAACTGCCAGCCAGCCGCTGAACAGTGAGCCGGGGGGAGGAGACAGGCAGGTGGGAGCTCCCGAGATGGGGAAGAATCATTCGAAGAAGTCCAAACTCAAGCTCTCCTCCATGTGGGCCCAGAACTCGGCCAGTGGCGGGATTAAGGAGGCCAGCCTCTGCGATAAGGACCCATTGATGGAGAAGCGGGGGCTGGCTTGCCTCAGCAGGGCTGACCTCCAGAGCAGGCAGGTGACCTTCCTCCAAGAGGATCAGCCCAAGGAGCTCAAGGTGGTCCTCGGGCCTCCGCAGGCGGCCGCCACCGATCCACGGGACTTGAGCGTCAAGAGAGCACCGGCTAAAGGGAAGAGCAGGCTGGACAGCGCCCACCTGGACCAGAACATGGTGGGGCCGCAGCAGCAGCAGCAGCAGCATCTGGAGAAGGTCGTCGAGCTGGGCCACGTGGCCGGGGTGCCCAAGGAGGGGATGGCAACGGAGATCTTTTCGACCCAGCACGCCCGAACGAGCGCAAAGGAGTCTTTGGAGAAGGAGGGCCATCCGTCCGAGGCTCTGCCTTCAGCCAAGAAGCAGCCGCTGGGTGCTTCGTGTGGCGCAGAGCCTTCTAAGATGACGGAGGAAGCCGTGGCAGGCCCTCGAACCCTCAACGAGAGAAGCGCAAGCGGGCCGGCTCCTTCCGGTTGCCCGGCTCTCTCGGGAGGGAAGAAGACTCTCCTGTCGTGGGGAGCTGGCCAGGAGGAGAAAGAGCCGGCCGGTCAACGGGACAGCACCCCTGGGTGCGACGGGGACTCCCGGGGGTTGGCTTTCCCGCCTTCCAGCCCGCCCGTGGAACCGCCAAAGCCCTTGACCATCCCGGAGGGAAAGCCTCAAGCCCCTGAAAGTGAAGGGAAAGCAGGGGCGAAGGACGAGGCTCCGGGCGCGGAGGTGGTCAGCTCGGTGACGATGCAGGAGCTCATGGAGAAAGGCCTCCACTTTCTGTACAAGGTGACCATCCAGCCGGGGCAGTGGCCCTCCAGCCTCAAGTCGGCCAAGCAGAAACCCAGCGTCCTGACGCCTGGCATCTCCTATGCCGACATCCTGAAGCAGAGCCCCCAGAAAAAGCCTTCCGCCAGTGCCCCTGTCTTGCCCAAAGCCTTGCACCATCTCGCCTCTCCGAGCAAGAAGCTCCCGACCTTCAAAGGGCTGGAAAAGGACAATCCCGAAGACTTCTCCTCCCTCTGCCAGTTGTTCCCCGAGCACTTCAAGGAGGCCGCCCCGAAAGGGCCTGCCCCGCAGGCGCCCAGCCAGCAAGTGGTGACGTTTCTCGAGGAGCTCTCCGCCGGCAACCCCAAAGGGACCGAGTGGCAGAGGCCTCGGCCGCCGACGCCGTACCCTCAGCGCCGCAAAGGGCAGGGCCGAAAGCTGCCCAGGTTCGGCACGGCCGTCTCTCAGGTCGTCGCCTTCCTCGGAAGCAACCCCAAAGGCGATTGGTTGGTGCAGGATGAGGGCCAGATGCCGCCGAACGAGGCCACCACGGCGGCGGTGGCCAAGGAGGAAGAGGGTCCGGGCTGCCCCAGATCCCCTGGCGGCACCGCCAAAGCGGCCAAAGAGGTGGGCTTCTTTCAGCCGATCTCGTCCCTGTTTTCGGAGGGAATCCCCATGGAAATTGACGACCCTCCTCTAAGACCCCAGAGGAGACCTCCGGGCCCGGACAAGGGAGCCAAAGAAACGATTCCTGTCAAGGTGGCCCTGTGTAATGCTTCTCGCGCCAAGGTGTCCCCGCTGGTGGCAACACACTCGTTCCAAAAGGAAGAACCAATCCCTCCAGCCCTTCCGCTTCGCCCAACACAGCGCTCTCCGAGGGAGACGCAGGGTGTGCCCAGCCTGGCCTCGGCGGCACCGCCGTGCGTCCCCGCCGGACTGGTTCCCGATCCGAAGGCCGCCCCCGCCGCCACTCAGGCGAGGCCCAAGCTCGTCCGGAAACAAGGGCCTGGCGCGACGAAATCGAAAGAGAAGCTCAAAACATCGGGACCGTCCAAATCGAAAGCCCCTAAGGGGAAGGGGCACAAGCAGTGGCCTCGAGGCTACGGGATGACCCCCGCCCTGCGGCTAGAGGGGCCCCCTCTCTTCCCGCCTTTTGAGAAAGTCGCAAGACCTTTTTATTTTGGCGAACCTTTGGTAAGTCCGGGCTGGTTGGGCTCTGTCCAGTTGATCTTCCAGACCAAAGACCCCCCGGGGGTCTTTCAACCAGGGATGGGGGGGGAATCAAGCTGTAAAGTTGGACTTAAGTCATACCAGTGACTCAGCTCAGACTTGACTCCCCCCCCCCGTGACTTGGTCTTGACTTGCAACTTCGAATCTACCCACCTCTCCTTTTTTCCTGGGGGTAGGGAAGCTCATTTTAATAGGGACTTGGTACTTGACACCAGAGACTCAGATTTGACTTGAGACTTGGGCCAAAGACTTGCCAATGTCTGTGATTTTAATTAGTTCTGAAATCACATATTGATCCTTTCTGGTCTGTTTTCAGGCCGAGTTTAGAGCTTGGGGCATTATCTTTACAGGCTAACCTAATAGCCTTAGCGTGACTTTTTAAAACATTGTGCATTTGTTGGTTTTCCTTCTCACACAAATAATAAGTTGGTTTTGCATTACACTTAAATTTTGTAGTGCGCACACACACAGCTTGACTCCAGAGGGTTGCAAACCTCCAGCATTTCAGGTGCTGCATGTGTTAAATCCACACTTTATTGCAGTGGTTCTCAAATTGGGGTCCTCGGATGTTCTTGGATTGCAGTCCCCAAAAATCCTGGCCAGCCCAGCTTCTGGGAGTTGCAATCCAAGAACATATGGGGACCCCAGTTTGAGGACCACTCCTCTCATAGAATGGTTCTCAGCCTCGGGCCACCCAGGTGTTCTTGGACTGCAATTCCCAGAAGCTTTCACCACCAGCTGTATGGGCTGGGGTTTCTGGGAGTTGCAGTCCAATAACGCCGGGGGGGGGGAAGCCAAGGTTGGGAATCAGTGCTCTAATGTAGAACATCAGCTGCCTTGTCAACCAGTTGAACAGGCAGGATCGGGACCCCTTTGATTTTTCTCAAATGTGGGTGACTCTGATGGCCTTCTGAGACACTGTCCCGGAATCAAGTTAAGTGGTGCTGTGTTACAGTGAATCTGCTCATTCCAAGAAGGCTGACCCCCCCCCCCCCAAGGGGATGCTGTGTGAGACTTCAGTTCCACCCTGTGGCTTGTGGTGTAATAGCAGCTACACTCTTTTCTCCCGCGTGCTTCCTAACAGCTGGAAGGTATCATCTACAGCAGGGGTAGGTGGCTTTAGTAGGCTTGGGGGGGTCCCAAGGCAAATGTGCAAACTCCCCAAAACATTTAAAATACATGCAATGAAACCAGGAAGTCTACTTCTGGTTTTGGAGGAAAAATATTTATAGGAGGGAGTTAAAGGCTGTGGGAAGAGCATTTAAAATGTGAACTGCTACTTCTGGAAGCTTGTAGGAACAGCAGTTTTCTCTTTTTTTTGGCTGGAAAATAAGAATCTCGGGGTCGGCAAAAGCCGGCCGTAGGGAGACCCGTGTCGCTCTACGACCGATCTAGAAATCTGGGCAAATTAGCTTCAGATGGCAGGCAGCCCTTTTCTTGTCTCTCTGTGGAAATGTGTCTCCCGAAGACATGGTGGAAAGAGAAAGCAGTGGTTGAAATCAGTTCTGGGGAGGATGTGGCAGAAATAATCCAGACGTCCTGAGGACTCCAATGTGGGAATGCTAGTCAACCGGTCTCGGGTACGGATATACACGTTGTGATCCACCCAAGCCACTAAGAAGGACTTCTTGAATTTTTATGGGGTGGGGAAGACAGCGGCCAGCAGACTGAAACAGTCTCCTTATTGCAAAAATTGTTGCCTTAGACCAGACATGTTGTTAACCTGTTTTAACCAGTGGCTGCAAAAATAATAATAATGCTATTTTAGGATACTTTAACAGAAATATAGTCTCCAAATCCCACGAGGAACGACTCCCCCTCTATTTAGCACTGGTTAGGCGTCTAGAGTTCTGTGTCCAGTTCTGGATACCATTATTTTATGAAGGATGCTAACAAACTGGAGCAAGTGCAGAGGAGGTCAATAAGGAGGATCAGGGGACTGAAAAACAAAGCCCCAGGAGGAAAGACAGAAAGAACTGGGCATGTTTTAGCCTTGAGAAAAGAACACTAAGGGAAGAGGGGAGAGCACTTTTCAAAGACTTGAAAAGTAGTCATACAGAGGACGGGCAGGATCTGTTCTCAATCATCCCAGAGTGCAGGATATATAATAATGGGCTCAAGCTGTAGAAAGCCAGAATTTGGCTGAATCAGGAAAAACATCTTAACTGTTAAGAGTGGTATGACAATGGAACCAATGACCTGGTGGGAGGTGGTGAGCACAGACTCTTGGAGGCATCCAAGAGAAAACTGGACAGCATCTGTCAGATCTGCTCTGATGTGTATTTCTGCATAGAGCAGGAGTTGGACTCAATGGCCTTAGAGGCCCCTTCCAACTCCATTATTCTAGGATTCTATAATCTGGCTCTAATCAAAACAACCGAATTCTGCATCCGCAAGCAATAAATCACCCACTGGACCACGCAAGGAGATCCTCAGTAATTCCCTGTTTCCTTGGATCACCTGAATGGAAATAGTGAACTTGTTTGCAAAAGTCTGCTCTATAATCTTGTTTTGCTAGATATTATCCTTTTTATTGCCAGATGTTTTGCTTATTATTAGGAGAGCAGGCTGTGGATAGCTAAGTTGAACTTGTCCGTTAGCAGCCTTGCCTGGTTTTTTAACGGAACAAGTGAACTCTCTACATCCAGGAAACGCCTCTTGCTCTGGACAAACCGGCCACCGTCGATGTGGGAACCTCCACCCAGGCCAGTCCCGAAGAAGACGGAGAGGCCGAAGGATCTGACGGGCACCACTGGCCGGCTTTCCAAGTGTCCGAGTCATGTCCCATGAGGTGCTACTGCAAGCATCAGGCTCCGAGGAAGCTGCCTAAGAACGTTGTAGCTTGGTGAGCAAGGAGATGGCTTGGGTGCAAACCTTGAGTGGCCCTTGGCCGAATGAAGTGGGGTGGGGTGGGGGCCCTACCCGATGAGGTCTCATGCCATTTTCACCACCGTGGCTTCTCCTAGAGAATTCTGGGAACTGTAGTTTGAGGAGATTGCAGGGGTGTGCTTGATCCTGCCGTAGGTGCTGAGGCTCCCAGGCATCCATGCGGAGACAGAATTGCATCCGGAGCTGGTTTAAGTGTTAAAACTACTCAGGCTCGAGAGTTCTCTGTTGTTGGAAGGGAATTTTAAGGTCTTCTTCAAACGAGAACTCCCAGGTCTCTGTGAGCTTGACCCACGGCCGTTAAAATGGTATCAAACTAGGTAGCGTTAACTAAAACAGTGACGCCGAAAAAGGAGTGAAATTATTCCTCATTGCGTTACACTTCTAATTTGATTACACATTACATGCTGGAGAAAAAAAAAGCATGAAGGGTGCTCCTCCAACATGTCTTAAGAGGGTGCTCATGACTTGTGCCCCTTTTGACACAGTGTGCGAGGGGGCCATATCCTTCCTGGGGACTGGGTATGATGGAGGCTTAAGTCTTCTGGGAGAAAAGGTGGGAGGAGCACAACCCGTTGCCTAGCAGCCCCCCCCCCGCTTGTTTTCCACTGCAGGTACTCCAGGTTGCTTAGCAACTCCTTCCATAGCTTCTTTCCTAAGTTGGCCAGGTAACTCGACACCCAGCCTCTCCCAATGGCAGCCGATGTCATGACGACCCATGGATGGTCAAGAGGGGCACACAATTATACGGCCGAGGTTCTCCTTCACGTACCCGTGTAACCTCCATTCTGAACCTCCTGAACAAGGAAGCACCACCACCCTTCAAACTTTGGTTCAGTGGCTAGCACATTCGGCAATAAATCGCCAAAGGCGATGGCAATAATGCAGTTAGCATTTGCTCATGGCCTGCCCATCCAGGCCGATTTGGGAGCCACTAGCCAGGATCCTGAGCTTTTGGCACGTTGGACGAACCCGTTTGGGGTCTGGTGTAGCTATTCAAGCTAGCAGAAGGAGCCATGCAGGAGGGAAGGGAATCCTGGTTTAGTGGAAATGGGAATTAATCAGGATGGGGGCTATATGTGATAACTGTAGCCATTCCAAACTGGTGCTGTCCAGAGTGGGTGTATGAAAACTCCAAAAAAGCTACCTTGACTGGGGTTTTCTGGGAACTGTGACACGCTCGTTTGCCCATGACACGCTCAGAGGGCAGCAGGTTGAGGAGGGAGGGCTGATGCCCCCCAAGAACTGATGAAAAGCCAAGAGTTCCAACACCAACAGGGCAAATGACATAGGCTTGCAGCAAGAACTTTGTGAGTGGCTAAATTAACTTTTTTTAAAAATTGAAATTAATGAATCTATTGAAGTTTCTTGCAATCAAGTTCTCCTTCAAGAAAGGCACTACAGTGGTGCCCCGTATAGCGACATTAATCCGTTCTAGGATTAACGTCGGTATCTGGATTTGCCGCTATGCGGGGGGGGGGGGGGGAACCCATAGGAACGCATTAAACTTTAAGGCGTTCCTATTGGGGAAAAGCTCACCGGTAAGCGAAGATTCCCCCAGCCGGCCGCCATTTTCGCTGCCCGGTAAGCGAGGGCAGGGCGCGAAAATGCTGCGGGCGGCCATTTTCTGCCCCCGGCAGCCATTTTGGAACCACCGATCAGCTGTTTTCTAAACATTGCAATACGAAGATCGGTAAGCGAAATGCTTACCGATCATTGCAATCCGATGTTTAGCCTATCTAAACATCGCAATGCGACTGCATTAGCGATCGCAAAAAACGCGTCGCTGTGCGGATTCGTCGTTAAACGGGGTGCTCGTTAAGCAAGGCACCACTGTACAAAGTTAAGGTAAAACGAGGCAGCTTTAGACCGCCTCTTCGCTTCTCTTTTAACCCCTTCTCTTCCAGGCTGAACCCCTCCACCAACCACCTGGCAGAACCGCCCTGGGTTGCCACTGCCATGCTGGCCGTCTCACTGGTCGCCGGGACCAAGTTCTACTTAGACTCTTACAAACAGGAACACGTTTCCAGTGAGGACTGAATCTCCCCCCTTCCCCGGGGGTTCTCGGTAATAAAACTTGCGCCCTGTGGCTCCGTGCAGTCAGCCTTACTGGGGATGTTAAAACAGGTGGCGAGATCTTAAGTTTTAGAAAGTGGACGGTAAGATATTGGTTGGCAGTTCATTTTCAACAGAGCAATACTGAAGGCTGAGTGATGCTGTCTCATCCCACTGACTGACAGACAAGGAGTTCTTTTAACCCATAAAGCAGAGCTCTCTAGGCACTTAACCGTTTCCCAGTCACTGTTTGTGGGCCTCCAATATCTGGCTCTCAAAGAAGTCCACCAGGACTGAAGGTGGAAGCGTCCTCCTTCGTGTTCACACTTGGTAAGGCAAGAGATCCAGCTCAGAGGCAACGTCCAGGCCCCGTTTGACCACTAAAAGCTGCAGTTAGCTCAAAATGGAAGTAGATACCTCTATCCTCCTTGTGTTTGGGAAACAGGACAATATATACATATACATAGCAATCTGGCCTTACAGCTGAGTCGTGTCCCATTCTGGTACCTTCAGGATTGGCTTAAGACGGCTAGGAAAACTATATTTATAGAAGAGCATGTTTTTGTTTATTGAACCAGTCATCCCTTTAAGTGACTTTGCACAAAACCAACAGCCGCACGGTACCCAAATAAAAACAAAACAAAACAAAAATCAGAAGTTTGAACATAATTCTTGAAGGCCTTTTCTTTAAAGCCTGTGCTGACCAGGAAGCGGGAAGAGTCTGTTTCCATTGCAACCAGAAGCTCCTGCCGTATTTCTGAACATCAGCAATGGATAAGTTGGGGGGGGGCACTCCTCAAAGGGAATTTTAAATCCCATAAAGTCAGAGCAGCCCAAGATCAGTCCGTTCCCTGCTTCCACATCCAGAACATTTTTTTTCCACCTGGGACCAAGAAACAACTTAACTGTTAATGACACACAGATAGGCCCACTTTATATTTACTCTGGCATCCCAGGAGAAATAGACTTAAAAAAAAAAACACAACCCCCCTTGACCCCCACCCCCTTTCTCTGTAAGAAAAGACTGCCCGCTGGATGGGAAGTGGAATATAAAGGCTAAAATGCAGGAAATGAGCAGCCTGCAGTCCCAGCGCAGGGTGGCAAGGGCCTGCTAGACAATCATCTCCAGCTGCCGAGCGTATTCAATAACTTGTTTAGCTAGCTCTGTAGAGGGAATTGTCGTGTCTTCTGGCTTCTGCTGCTGGCCTATGAAACAGTAGTGGTTGTTGGGGCCCAGGACCCAACCGCGCTGAAAAAGGAGAAAAGAAGTGAGACAAAGAACCCAGAGTGAATATGGATGATCTGGTTTTCTGATCCCCCGACAAGATTTCCCCGCTCAGCCTTCAAGAATCAAGTGGTGCAGCTGGCTTAGTCTATAGCAGCAGCCGCCGTAGCAGGAGATTTTTCCAGATAACATCAAGAGGCCACAAGATTCTTTCTTGTTAATGGCACAAAAGAAAAACAAAAGCATGCTGCTCATATACCGCCTTATAGCGTTTAAAGCACACTCTGGGTCGTTTACAAGTTAAATATGGAAGCTACCCATTCCCCCACCCCACCCCGTTTACTTATTTTACCAACCTCGGAAGGATAGAAGGCTGAGTCAACCTTGAGCTGGCTACCTGGGATTGAACCCCAGGTCGTGAGCAGCATTTTGGCTGCAGTACAGCAGTTGAACCACAGCCCCACAAGGCTCTGTAATGTCCAGGTTCTCTTAAAATACCCAGTTTAAAAGCCAGCAGCAGGAAACTTGCATTATATTGAGGGAAATGGCATACCACCCCCATAATGGAGGCAAACACAGGAGAAGAAAATTCAGACCTGTTCCCCCCCCCTCCAAAAAAATCTGGTGGAAACACATTTAAATTTATAGTATGATGGAACTTAGATCAGCCAGGCCCTTGCTAGACAATGAATGTCCACCCCATGTACATACACTTCTGGCTAACTGAATGTCAGGATTTTTTACTGAACCCACAGCTCGCGAAATGTAACTAACTCATCATAGTGGAAGAGGATGGTGAGCCTGTGCCTTTACATAGGTTACTGGATCCACATTCGCACCTCAGCCCCCAATCACAAGGGAGAAAGGCATGCTGGAGTCCAAGAACATCTCAAGGCTTATGCGCATTCCCCACCCCTGTTGTAAGTCAAGATCCAATCAGTGGAGGAGAATAACAAAGGAAAGGCTTCTGGCGTCTTGCTGGTAGGAAGAGGCCAGAAATGCTTCCTGTGAATGGCTTCCCTGGTCTGCTCAGCCAAAGGAGTTCTAGAATTGGGAGAATGGCTTCCCTGGTCTGCTCAGCCAAAGGTGTTCTAGAATTGAGAAGGACTCGCCTGAAGGACCCAAGCAAGCCAAGCCATAAAGCGAGGTCTGTCACCACAGAGAAAGCCCTGAGGGTTAAGTTCAAGGCGGCCACTTTCGGGACACCGCCCGAGTATGACGAGCATGGGGTGGGGAGGGGAGAGGTATCATAGGAAAGGCCCCAAGGCAGGAAGCTCAAAAGGAAGGGAGGACCCCACAGGGGCAATCTTACTTTCTTGGCATAGTCGGTCATCTTCTTTGGAGTAAAGAAGAGCATGCGGGTGGCCTCACTGAACAGGATCTTCTCGTAGGCCTTCTCGATGCAGCTGGCGATTTCATCCCTGAAGACCGAAAGGGAAAAAGACCCAAGGATATGGCAAAGGAGGGGACATCTGTGGCACCCTGGCCCGACCACCTCCCCCCTTTCCGCAAGGCCAAAACGGCGGGACTCACCTGACCGTGTCCAGTAAGATGTCTATGAAGAAAGCGTAGCTCTCGGCTGGGATGTTACCTTTTGCCAGGAAGACTTTGTTGTAGCTGCCTTCCATCAGGTACTGCGGGTGGGAAGCGCAAAGAGAAAACACACCCATCATCTTTCCTGGGAAATCTGCTCTGGGCAGTTAATACACACACAGGCAACCTTCCACTTCTTCATCATCCTCATGTGTTGGTGAGTCCATTCTGACTTATGGTGAACCTTTTCCGGGTAGGGAGGACTCAGAAGTGGTTGACCATTCCCTTCTTCTGGGGGCAGCTATGGGACTGTGCAGCTTGCCCAAGGCCACCCAGGCTGGCCTTTCTCCTCCAAGGCACTGTCGGGAATCAAACTCCCAACCTCTGGCTTTGCAGACAGATACCTAAACCACTGAGCTATCCAGCCGGCTTCTAGTTTCTTGACCCCTTAAATAATCTTCTCCTCTTGTCCCTGGCTGCCCCTTACTCCCAGAACTACTCTATACAACACCTGTACTGCTTCCCTTGAAGATCCTCAAAAGCCTACCATTTATGGAAACCCTTGGACACAGGAGAAGGAAAGGGAGGCATGGCATACCAATGCCTCAGAAACAGAGGAGTGATAAATAAGCTACATGCCCACCATGGAAGGAGAGATATGGCCCTCCCTCCATCCCTAGCTGCAGAGCTGTCAGGACAGTCAGCTCACCATCCCGGCCTTTCTGAAATGCCAGGCTCACGGGTGACGCCCTCTGAATAGTCCCGAGGCTGTTCCTCCCACTGCGCTCATGGTCCATGTTAGGCACACTGTGGGTCTGTGACAATCAAAACTGAAGCTTGGAAATGCTCTGGCAACGTTGTCTAAGGGGAGGTCCTGTACCCAAAAAGGTCAATGGTCGACGCTTCCAAGTTCTGTCCAAACTGGCGGTGGTGTTCTGACCAAAGGAAACCCTCCAGAGCTAACAGAGGGGAAACCGGCCGTTGCGCTTTACAACGTGGGCAGAGGGGTGCTTCTTCCTGCTCACCACCTGGTGCTGGCACCCATGCAAAAATAGAACCCCATGGAATATAAAGCCTCTCTCCACGTGGACTGCACGCACATTTAGTGCATGCAGGCATGTGTCCGCACACCGTCAACGTCAGGCTCTTCCACTACACCCGATCCAGAAGCTTCCTGACACGGGGAAGCATGCTCTCGGAAATGTCCTAGCTGACCACCTGCTCTGCCTCTTGGAGGCAACGCTTAACAACACCGGACCCGGGGCAAGGGAAAAGCAAGGCGTTACCTGTTCCAGAGACACAGGGTGCTTGATGTAAACGTTGGTCTGAATCTCTTTTGCTGGTAGCCTTTCGAGCTCGGTGTGAAACTCGGCGACACGGTTCTGGGAGAGCAGGAAGAGGAGGTTCAAGCCCAACAGCTGGTGCTTGTAGGCCGACTCTGGTAACTCATCTCTGAGGCAGGAAAAGGGGAAAGATGTTGAACTTGTGTGTAAGGAAGGATGTGTGACTACTAGAGATGGGGATATTCATATTTGTAAACGAATACGATATCTGCCCGTCTCAGCTAAGAGCCAATGAGGGTTCAGCCCCAGGGACCAGCCTGTCCAGTCACGTGTTCCGTCACCATGAAGGTCCCGCTCTTCCCACCAATGACGACAGGAGCTCTGCCGTCTCCCTGCTTGGCTGGCAACTCTGCAGCCATGCGGGGAGACTTGTCCGCCCGCCCCCTGCCTGGAGTGGCCAGCTGAGCTGGGAGGCAGTGGATCTCCTGTCGCCATTGGTGGGAAGAGCAGGACCTTTGTGACGCCTGAGTGGACAGGCTGTCCCGAGGGGGAGGGGGGCTGGACCCTCATTCGGTCCAGCTGGGAGAGGGAGATTCATATTCCTTTATGAATACAAACATTCCCATCTCCTGTGTCAAAGCCTGGCTGTAGGAATACTGATGAGACGCTGGACCTTTATGCAAAACAGCCGACAAAAAGACAAGCAATGAGCGGGGCATTGATGCCGGAGGAATGCTTTCTCCTGCGCGTTCCACCTCCAAACCTCTCGTGGGCTGCCCTCTGCACAGCACCGCATACAAGGTGAGCCGTTAGGGCCTCTCCGTCTGCACTGAGATGCTGGAAGAGGGTGTGCGTCTGGATGCTCCAGGGCGGAAGGGAAAGGACCCTGGGCTGCACCCCTCCACACACAGAATCTCCTCTGCTCTGAAGCAAAAGGAGAGAGTGTGCACCTGTTTTTGGGGTGTGGAAAGAAGCCAGCTGCTCTCTGGCCACTGAAAACACAAGGCAGGCAAGGAGGGTCTCCTCAGAGGACTTCTGAAGAGAGGGGTGAGTGAGGCATCATCGTGCTCACTGCAATCATCACTGGGGGAGGTTGCATGTGTGTGCATCGTGCTCACTGCAATCATCACTGGGGGGAGATTGTATGTGTGTGTTGGGGAGATTCCCTGATATCTGCCAAACACTGCCCAAACCTAGTGAATGCAATAACCCGCCCTTGAGAAATCCTCCAAGGAGACGCTTGTATGCCTTGTTTTTTTGTGTGTGTGGCAGAGGTGGAAGCTTTTTCCACACCTGAAAAAGGTGCACACCTTCCTCTCCCTCTGGACCCCATTCTTTTCCAAGAAAGTTCATGCCAGGATAAGGAGCCCTTGGCCCTTCAAATGTTTTAGAGACTACGACCCCCCTCCCTTCCCGTAAGCTCCTACCACTAGCCATGCTGGATGGGGATGTTGGGAACGGTTGTACCAAACCTCTGGATAGCCAAAGGTCTCTCAACCTGTTCCTGTTCAAAAGTCTTTCCCTTCAGCGTCCCAAGCAGACCCAGGCTTTGTTGGGGGTGGTGGTGGTGGTGGGTAGAATGAGCCAAGGAGCCCACCGAGAGGTTGCAAGGCAGACGTGCTTACTTGTAATCAAAGTAGTAGCACTTGAGCTGGGCCATGTATCTCTCAAAGGACGGGATGTCTTTCTTCAGGATACTCCACTGCGCCCCGATTTCTAGGATGTCTCCTAGGAGAGAAACGGCATGAACCAAAAAAACCCGAGGAAGGAGCAAAATCACGGCACAGCAAACGAATACAGCCAGTCTGTTGTTGTGGAATTGTAAAGCGACTTGCCTTTCAATCTGCCAAGGATGCGCGAAAGAGTGAAAAAGAGGGCCAAGGAACCAAGGAAGTTCCTTTACAGACTGATCCTCGCTATCATGGCAGCTAAGAGACATTGGAGCAAGGTTGAAAAGCCCCTGGTTCGAACTGTGTTGCTGCAATAAGCTGCTTGTGTTGTTTTTGGCTACCACATCTTTAATGGGGGAATAATATTAATTATAGTACCTACCCTACTATGCTGTTGTTGGAGAAGAAACTGTTGGAAATGAAAGGAGTTACCAAAAAGCTAACTACCAGGTAGAGACTCATGATGCAAAGAGTTGCATTTCTATGCATGCTTGAGATATAGGATGCTGCAGCTAGGCAGGACCCTCAGTGCCCATATAGGAGATTTCCTGAGAACCTTCTCTAATTAGTCTTCAATTCCACAAAAACAGAACGAATACATTTGTATCAGCACAGATAAGGGAAGTCTTTCCATGAACCCCTCCTTCCTTTCCATACTAGGGAGAACAGGAAGTTTTTGCACCGGACCAGTTTGTGAGAAAATGGCCGAGAATTATTGTAAGAAGAGATGGCTGTTCATGGGTTCAGAAGCGACGCAGTGGGCTGAGCTTTCAGAGTGGGGTGGGGTCCTGGTTGCTTCCCAGGCCTTTCCCTACGTTACAGGGACTCCCTCAATCTGACCCACCCTTAGTGCACGACAGGACTGTACTCACTTGCCAAAATAAGTTGCTGTTTAGTCAGCTTTGTCCCTGTGGTCGGGAGGAAGTTGAGTTCAAGCAGAGCTAGCTGGAACAGAGACAGGAAAGGGAGAAGCGTTTACACACAAGCCATACGCCTCTTAAGCAGGCTCTCACGACAAGGGACAGCAATGCACTGACACAAGACGGTTTCTCTTATTTCAAATCTGCATAGCAGGTGACCGGCCACCAGCAGCCCTGTTGCGAAATCTGGCTGGCAGACAATCTTCTCCCGGTCCATACTAAATTCTGCAAGAGGAAACAGGCCTTCGTCCTGACACAGTTTAAAAACATTATTGGGAAGCCTGGTTGAAACCATTCAAATGTATGTTTTTCCCAAGGCTTGAGTAGCAGTTCTTGTTCACACAGGCATCAAGAGAAATGAACAGGATGGGCCTTCTCAGAAGCCATCTAGTTCAGAATCAGTCCAGTGGGGAAAACCACCAGACATTCCTGTAAAACAATTTAGAGCTATATCCACTATAAATATGTTATTACTAAAAGCAGCAAAGGCTGCTGGACTCAGTAACTTTTTAAAAAGGAGGCTGACAAACGCACAGATGATGATTTAGGAATGTCTGTGCCCCCCCTCCACCGCCCAGGCTGTTGGATTACCCATTCCTGTCACAAAAGCTATAATCGGGAATGGCTCTGAGACAAGAGGGAAGGAGCAAGGCTTTCTTCTTCAAGGACAGTGTATTCTTGTTTATCAGATCAAGAGACAGCAGGGGCACCTGGCTTCTATGATTGTGGGCGAGAAACATCCAGGCTGAAGTTTTGATTTGCTTCGGTGGCCTCCGTTCATCACAACCCGGCTCGGCCTGGAAGTTCATAAACAGGTTTGCCCTCCAGCAAGAACAGCACAGCTGAGTCACCTTCCTCTCTTCCGCCAGCTTCCAAGGAAAGAGAGGCCATCTGAACTCCGGGAGGCTTTAACTGCCAAGATCTCCCCTCCTCACAGCCCTCTTCTTGACGGGGGGGGGGCTTCTGCTTCCCACACCTCATGTTAGCTAGTCCTTCCCCTCTTCATGCTACACTCGAACCTCTTCATTTCGTCCCCACCCCATTGACTGCCTCGTACAAAATCATCAAGCTCCAGCTAGTCCTTCCCCTCTTCATGCTACACTCAAACCTCTTCATTTCATCCCCACCCCATCGGCTGTCCCGTACAAACATATGAAGCTCTTCTCCTCTCCCTGCCATAACCTTTCCATCCGTCTGCCCCCACCCCCACCCCGGTTCCTGTCAGGAACATCCAGGCAGCCGGCCCTTCCTTTTGCAGTGTGGGTGGGCAGAATGAGACCCTCCTGATGGGGTCGGACTATCATTCCTAGCCTTCCTCACTGTCACCTGTAACGACTAGACCTGGGGGGGGGTACAGCAGTCTGCCTAGAACACAGTCTGCCTTTATCCACCACTGCATGCGTGCCTCTCTCTGTGTGTGTATGCATGTATTTGGAGCCTCCGGTTTCCCTCCCTTCAGAGGCTGTCCCTTCTGAATCTGACGAGGAATCCTGGAGAACTGGAAAGCTTGCCAAGTTGGGAAGACTTTAGTGATCTATCCCACGAAGAGGTTACTCAGCCCATACTTTCTCGTCCAACTCTCTTTCGGTGGCGGCCCAGCCCCTATCCCTCCCCCCCCTCAGGTCATTCTCTTCCTCTAAGAACTACAGAGGCTGGAAGGGAACCCCCCATGGATCATTCAACCCCTCCCTTGTCAAGGGAAGCTCAGTGGGGGAATGGGGAGTCCCCAACCTCTGGCTCCCTAGCCGGAGACCTCAACTCCTGAGCTACCATCATCATCACCACCACCATTTTTGAACTGCAAGGCTGGAAGGGACCCTATGGCTCATGGAGCCCAGCCCCTTGTCAAGGGAAGCCCATTGGAGGACTCGAACTCCCAACCTCTGGCTCCACAGCCTGGGGCTTAAACCACTATCCCTTACTCCCTCGTCTCCCCAGCGCCGCCCCCCATGGAGACCAGACTCCGGACGACACCTCCTCCCCCTCTCACGACCCACCGCCCAGGGAGAGGCCTCT